CATCTTATGCCTTGGGAAAATAAGCCTTAAGTACTAGTGTCATGATGCATTAATATTTATATTAATAACTCGCAAGTAATTTATTAGTAAAACTCATTGTGTATTTTTAGCTCTATGTAATTCTTATAAATTCACTAGTTTTTTCTTATAAGCAAAAAATAGAACTTGTAAGATTAATAAAACAAAAATTAAGAAATAACAAAAATAACAAAATCATTACATTTCTTGTAAAAGTTCTGACCAGATTCTTTCGAATCTTACAATTTGGTAGTAGCAGATTTTTTTACCTTGTTTTATTTTACACACACATACATACACTTATATTCCACATCACTTTTTATTGAACTTTGTAATAGACAACTTATTAGCCACCATTGCACAACTAGTTCAAACCTAGCAAGAGTTGATGGATGCTTTAAATGCAGAAGAAAATGCAAATATAAATATAAATACCAATGCCCAAGTTGCCCCTAACAATAACAACATCCTAAAAATTAGTATCAGAATTTCAAGTTACAAAGATGTTTCAAAAGAGAATGTTGTTACCTAGCTACTTCAGATTCAAAGTATTTTTCATGCCCAAGGAATCAATGATGATGCAACTAAGATATATTATGCTGCCACGGGATTTGAAGAAGCTGCTTTACATTGGTATCTTAACAGAGTAACGGCAGCAGAGAACAATGCACCTTTTGAAGATTGGGATAGTTTCACAACAGCTGTTTGTCAAGCCTTTTAGCTACCAAACTATCAGCATTACCTCTGTCAACAACTAAAAAAATTAAAGCAGACCAGGTCTGTCTAGGAATATAAAACCTAATTATATAACATTATAGGCCAAATTGAAAATATGAACGAAATTGACAAAGTAACTTACTTTATAGAAGGCCTCAAATCTGCTATCTGAACAGAAGTGGCCTACCAAGCACCAGCTACTTTGAAAGAAGCCTAGGCATTAGCAATTCATTTTGACATGGCAATATTCAGTACAGGAAAAACCACAACCAGCAAACTACAACAACAATACACATATAAAGCTGAAAAAGGTGTTGATAGATCTGTGCCAATAGAATTGGACTATGCTAGAAGCTCATCTAGTAATCAACTCACAAGAAGCAGAATCAGAAAGAAATTGTTTCAAGTACGGATTACCAGATCATTATGCAAAAAATTGCAGGAGTAAGAGTAAATCAAAACTCACCAATGTAAAAAACAAACCAACACTATTATCACATAATATCACCACCAATAGTCTAGAATTAGCACAGATTAAAGAAAATCAGGAACAATTACTTAAATTTAATGGCAAAATTAATGGGCACAATGCTTGGATTCTTCTAGATAGCAGAGCATCTCGAAACTTTATCAATAAGAATTTCGTTGCCCAAAAAATAAATTAATCCTAAAGACAGTCTCTACACTATCAGTGGAATTAGCAGATGGAAGAAAGGCAGATACAAATAAAGCACTTGATATCAATCTCACAAAAACAAAGATTTCTAATAATATAAACACAAAATTTTTTAATACAAACCATTACTCATACTACTGGTCCAACTTATTAGACACCAAAGAAGACATATGTATTATGATCCAAAAACAACTTCAATCACATATTCATCATATTCTTAATCACCTAAGTGGTGCAATTGCAATAGACTTATTCTTCAAAAATAATCACAAATTTAGAATCATTTCTGTTTATCTCTCATCAACTAATACAACCAACCGTAAATTAACACAAAACAAAGTAATAACATGAATACAACAAGCTATAACACTTAATTTACATCTAATCATCCTTGGTAATTTTAATGCAAACACAGATACTATCATATCATCAGCTATTAAATTCTAACTACTCAACTACCTACATAGTACCAATATGTACAACTTGGCTAATTATACAAACAACCTACAATATACATGGCAAAGCATCAGATACTAAACTAGAATTGATTATATATAGGCTAGTGATACACTAATATTATACCTACACAAATTTAAAATTGACAACTAATCCTCTTCAACAAATAGTAATCACTAGATCCTAATATCAACCTGGTTATTTTCATTTACACTTTCTAAACCAAATCAGAAATCTAAATATAAAAAAGAGTATTTAACTACAAATCAATGTCTAAAAAAAACTGGGAATTCTTTGCAAACCAAGTCAACACAAATATGATAATACATCAAGTCTCTACTAATATTGACATAACAGAAAGTCTTAAACAATATACCACAAAATATATACCTGTATTATTAATGCAGCATTTCAACACATTTCAAACAAGAAAATAATAACCAAAAACTTTCATCATACATTCACTTCTAAAGCAACACAACTTCACAAAAACTTTAAAACAATTGAACATATAATATATCGTGTTCAAAGATACTTTATACACAACATCCTACTACTAGACAACATACTAGAACTAATCAACAACATTAATATCAAATATAGCTTCACTATTCAAACTCCACCACAACACCAAGCTGATCTGGCTCTTTGGACACAAAATACTAAAGAATACTGGAAAACTTTATATAATGCAAGAAATTTTGAAAATACACAACATCTAAGATAATACATTAATCTGGCTACTAACAACAGATGTGACCAACTACTTACTAATCCATCAAAAATGATAAAAAGTATACTCAATCGATATAAAGATA